AAAATAATAAAATATTTAAAAAATATTTTATTTGTTATTTTTATTTTTTATGTGTATGAATGTATTGCCTCCATGTATTTAAGTACACCTATGTTGTGAAATGCCTGTGGAAGTCAGAAGATGGTGTTGGGTCCCCTGAAACTGGAGTTATGAATGGTTGTTAGCCACCACGTGGGTGCTGGGAACTGAACCCAGGTCCTCTGCAAGAGCAGCCAGCACACTTAACCTCTGAGTCATTGCACCAATCCCTAAGTAAACTTTCTAAGAAAACTTGGTACATTAAAAAAAATCTTAATGGACTTCTCTTTGTCCTTGAATTATGAATTGTCCTATGAATTAACTTGGGGGGAAGACTCACATTTTCATGATCTTTATTTCTAGCCTAGGCTTGTCACAGTTGTGCATGTACCAGAACCTGCTTTGAGGTCTTTCAGATTTTTATAGTTCTCCTTATGTTGGGATAATTCCTTGTTGAATTCATGCCTATATTTTCATTTTCTTTAAATTGTCTTTTTTTAAAATAGTAGATAGAAGCATTCAGTAATTCTTTCATTTGTCTGTGTGTTGTGTCTGTCTACCTCTGTCTATCTATTCATCTACCTATTCATCTATCATCTGTCATCTATCTATCATCTATCTATCATTTATCATCTATCTATCTATCATCTATCTATCTATCATCTATCTATCATCTATCTATCTATATCTACCTCTATCATCTACCCATCATCTATATCATCTATCTATCATCTATCTAATCATCTATCATCTATCTATCTATCTATCTATATCTACCTCTATCATCTACCCATCATCTATATCTATCATCTATCTATCTATTGTCTATCTATTATCTATCTAATCATCTATCATCTATATCTACCTCTATTATCTATCATTGTCATCATTTATCTATCTCTATCTACCTCTATTATATCTATCTATCTATCTATCTATCTTCTATCTATCATCTATCAATCATCTATCTTCTATCTATTGTCATCTCCCTTCCTCTATCATCTTCCTATTTATCTACCCACCTACCCTACCCACTCATCTATTAACATCCATAGTATATATGCATATATAGTTTCCCTCTGGTTTGAAGATCTTTTCTCTATCATGCGGAGTATAACTGGTTTTGGTTAGTGTTAGTCTCTTAGATACATGTTCTTTGGCTAGCAGCCTTCTGCTAGGAAGAAGCTTCTGGCAGTCACATTTCCATTCTAGAATCTCTGCATTTTGCAGCTGCAGTGGGGGAGCTCAGGAGCATCCCCGGGGGTCCCTTAGATGGTTAGGTTTGGCTCCGCTTCTCCCAGAAGGAGATCCTGAGAGCCCAATTTTAGTGCCAGTGGTTATCCCACAGCAGACCCCAGGAAGCAGCACTAGGTGGACCGGAAGGATGAAAAGGAGGAATGTGAATAAAGGCCCTTGTGTTCTTCAGCAAGTCACCTCTGTGGGAAACTCCAGAGGAGACAGCTGATTAGCCAGAGTTACCCCAGTTACAGAGAGGAGGCCTAGAACAGCCCCAGCTACCCCCAGCCTCCTTAAGGGAAGCCTGGGACAGCTCCAGAATTACCCTAGTCGCAGAGGAGAAGCCTGGGACAGCCCCAGTTACCCCAACCTCCTTAGGCAAAGTTTGGGACAACCCCAGTTCCCCCAGTCACAGAGGTGAGGCCTGGGACAGCCCCAAAGTTACCGAGTCCCCTTAAGAGAAGCCTGGGGGTGGCTCAGGAGTTACACAAATGCAAAAGAGGAAGTCTGACCTCTACCCTCCTAACCTCTGTTCCCTTGGGGAGGGAAGCTTCTGGACTCTGCTGACCCTAGCAGGGGGGCAGGCCAGATTCACCCCTCTGCTGCTCTGGAACCCACTGACTCACCAGACACTGTAGCCTGAAAGGCTCATTAAATGGGAATGCTGGCAAAGCCCACCTCACAGGCTTGGTGTACAGATGAAAGTACTCAGTTGAGAGCCAGAGCTGCTGCGCGCTCCGCCAGCTGCAGGCACGTGCTGTCCCCAGGCCTCCTCTACAGCCCCCTGTTCTATCTGCAGCTCTAGTCCTGCCTCCCTGCGCTACTCAGGCCTGTGCTGCCTTGGGTGGTCAGGGAGTGCATGCAGGCCCTTCCCTGTAAGCCCCTGTGGCCTAGCCTTCTCCTTCCTCCCAGAACCCACCCCTGTCCCCTCCCTCCTTCCTGTCCCACAGGCTGGGGCTTGCTATGATTGCATTAGGGACCACAGCACAACCTCATGGACTCTGTTGTACAGGGCACATAGACCCCTTTTGCTGCTCTTAGGACCCAGGGCTAAAGTGAGGGTCTCCCCATCACACAGAGCAGAAGCAAATTCAAACAGAATCATACTGGCACATGGCACACTGCTGGGCTCCTCATTACTATAAGTTAAAATGAGCAACCCATTCCTCCAGTCCATTTTAATTGAACAACCAAAGTTCCTGTAATAGTGACACAGAGCGGGGGCACTCCCAGAATTCCAAAGTGAGGTCAAAAGAGGAAGACGGGTCTCCATGGGTGAGTGCAGTTATAATTCTGATCGCACACAGTTGTGTTCGGGGAGTCCCCTCTCTCAGAACCAATTGCAATTTGGGGACAGGGGCTGAGGTCTGTTTACAATGTTCAGACAGGTTAGGAATGGAGCAAGTCACAGGTCATGTCTTGGTCCCTAGAGGCTGGGTGACTTCCTGTCTGCTTGTCCCAACATATTCCTTTAGTTTCTTTCTTTATCTGAGGCAATAACCTTAAGTACAGGTACTGGACTTTGTGGATCTCCTCTCGGGTGTGCCAAGGATTAGGAGGATACCCTTCAAGTACCCAGAGCTGCTGGGGCTGAACGAGAGGCCAGCTCAGCCTCCTCCCCTCCTCCTTATCTCCAAGGGCCCACCTGCCCTGCAGAAATGGAAACGAAGTGTGCAGGTTTCCCTGCAGACTTGTAAGCACAGACAGATACCGTCAGGTGACAGTGCTGTGACAAGCCTGTGGAGCTGTTTCCCGATTGTTTTAGTCAGTGCAGGCTGAGGGAGGAAACCGACACCGACACAAACCAATTGCGTGCTGATCGGGGAACAGTGAAGTGCAGGGAAGCACTGAAAGTCTATAATTTCCCACGGAATTGCCGTTCAGTCATCGCATTGCTGTAGAATGACACAGTCGGGCTGGGCGGGAACTTCAATTAGCTGCAGGTTGGTTCTTTCCCCTCCTCCAGACAATGGAATATTAAGCCATCAATAGGCAATGTTCAGCGCCCGATTATGAAACGGCCCATTGTTCAAGGCAGAAAGGATAGCTAGCTAGAGGCGGGTGGCTCTCCCCGAGCGACAGGAGGCCAGATCGGCTTGCGTCCACCCCCTCCCCCCAGAAGCAGAGACGCCAAGGAGCATCTGAAGCTACTCCAGTTGCCCACTGCTGTGCAGTGCTCTCGTATCTGGTATTGGTTGAGATGGAGTGCCGTTGGAGCCCACCCACGCACAAGCAGAATCACAGGCAGGCCGTTCTGGGCACAGTCGTCAGGTGCAGGTTGCACAGCGCTGGCCACCAGGTGGGTGTGCTGGCTTCAGGGTTAGATCCATCCTTGCCTGCACCTGCTGCAACTTTATTCTGGAAGTGGCTTGTCACAGCACCTGCTAGCAGCTGCCGGGGGTCTTAATTCTTTCTCTCATTGGAAATTCCAAACCAAAACATGTGATTACTGCACCTTCAGATGCAGGGTATTTTGCCTGCATGTATATAGGTGTACCACATGAGTGCAGTGCCCACAAGAAGAGGGTGTTGGGTCTCCCAGAACTGGAGTTAAGGACGGTTGTTAGCCACCTTGTGGGTGTTGGGAACTGAACCCAGGTGTTCTGTAAGAGCAGCTGGTGCTCTTAACCACTGAGCCATCTCTCTCCTCTCTACTCACGTTTGTTCTTTTTACTGTCCTTCCTTCCCTCCCTCTTTCCCCTTCTCCCTCTCCCTCCCCCTCCCCCTCTCCCTAAACCCTCCCCCCTCCTGCTTTCTCTCTCTCTCTCTCTCTCTCTCTCTCTCTCTCTCTCTCTCCTTTCTTGATCTGGATCTTGCATCTCGGACTAACCTTGTTAAGTAGCCAAGGATCATCTTGAACTTCTGAGCTTCCTGCCTCCATCTCCCAAGTTCTGGGATTATAGGCATGAACCACCATGCCCAGCGTTTTACTTGATTGCTCAGGATCCAAACTCAGGTCCTCAAGATTGCAAGACAAGCCCTTTACCTGCAGAGCCATCTCCCCAACCCTATTGGTTTTTTTTAAAAAACACAAGAATGGCCATTCAAACTCGTCTGCCATTTTCCCAAGCTACTGTGGCCACAGAAGGAATACACGAGGATACCTGCCCTACCTAAGACCTCTGACAGCTGAAACCCAAATGGGGAGGAATCGGGTACTTAGCTTGCCGGAGAGGGAGAACTGTGATGCTCTCCGGTGTCTAGCAGTAATCTAAATGCAAGCAATGAATCAAGAGTGGTTGGCCTCGGCGCCCAGCGCCTCCATTGGTCTGCCCTTAACGCAGTCATCTAGCGTCTGCGTTAAACTTATTTATTTCCTAATGCTGGGTGATGGATTAAAAGATGTGTAGAAAATCCTTCTACAAGAGATACGATATTGCAGCCTGCACAATACCCCGTGCTCTTTTTACTTTTATTCTTTCTGTTTTACCTACTTCTCCCCCCTCATAGAGCTCAGGGCCCCCACACCGTATATCCTGATTACTTTGTGGCTACTGCTAAGGGGGTGTTTTTTTTAAGCCTGTCACTGACACATTTAATTCATTAGGTACCAAATCCACAAGCAAATTTTGGCTGGCCATAAAACACAGTTAATCCAGGGAGTTGCAATAAAAGGTGAAAATTGATATCCCAGCAAATGTGGACCGTTGCTTTTCTGCAGAGATTTTTACTGGTCTGTGATGCTTTCTTCATAAATTTCTCTTCTGCTTGGTTCTCTTGGTAACTTGACCGTTTGTTGTTTCCAGACCGCAGAATGGCTCAATGATTCTCTACAACAGGAAGAAAGTGAAATACAGGAAGGATGGGTATTGCTGGAAAAAGAGGAAAGACGGGAAAACGACCAGAGAGGACCACATGAAACTCAAGGTCCAGGGAGTGGAGGTAAAGAGTAGAAAAGGCTCTCTTGTCCCCAAATGTCATTTCCGGGTTGCCTTGGAGAATTGGGAGTTGCTTGCGTAATCTGTTGCCGGTCATCAGGGTCCAAAGATTCTTTGTTTGCCACGCCCCTGCCGTTTGCTGCGGCTTTTCTGCTTCCTTATCCAAGTTTCTCTTCCGGTGGAACTGGGAGTGACCAAAGCGCCCCTCCTCGGGGGTCATTGGTGTGTGGATGGGACGTGGAAGGGGTCTGCAGATTCCTCTTCTGTGTTTATTGCTGGTGTTCCAGGTGCACTGAGACTGTGCAGGGGTGCAGGTGTTGGGAAAGGGGGTGTCATCATGAGAAATGGTCTCCAAAGGTGCTCAGGCCAGCTGAGGATGTCCTTCAGAGCTGGGCAGCCCTCCCTCTGCTGACCAGTCTTCCACTTCCCTGTGGGTGTTTCAGCTTCAGTAGAGGTTAAAGATAATGAGGTGGGTTCGCAAGGTGAGCATGATTCTCACAGTGCTGGGGTTGAGAGGACCCGGCTGCTCTGCTGCTCAGCCTGTGGGCAGCCCTGGAGAAGTTCCCCAGCTCCTGAGGGTCTCAAGCAGGTATCCCACGGAACCTGCTAGTTAACCAGCACCCACGTCTTCACATTCCTGACAAGCTCCAGGTGTCTATCACTCAACTTCAGGGATGTGTGGCCAGGGCTGCTTTAGGCCAGGACCCTCCACCCACCCTTTCAGAGAGGTCCACTGGTATGCTGAGTGTCTGAAGATTCCAGTGCATAGCGAGGCCTGGGAGCCCACTTGAGTTCTAAGGATTATCCTTGCGAGTTTGACGGTTTTTGTGACACACTTTGTCATGTTGGGTTTTTTTTTTTTCCTGTATTAATCATGTGCTTTTATGGCTGCTAAAAATAGCATCAAATGGCTTTTATTATATTACCCCGTGGAGAGAGATAACTTTTGTTTTATGTGTATGTGCTTTTTTTTTTTTTTAATACACCAATAAGAATGTTTTATGATGATGAAGGAAGAAAATCCCGGTATGAGAAATTCCAGTTCCAGGTCCTCTCCCCCGTGCTCAGCGTTTGCAGCGGGGTTTAATCGACTGTAAGGAACATTAATATGCAGATTACCCGAAGGTGCTGCCGGAGCTGCGACAAGGACCCTGCAAATGTGTTCTCCAGTCTTGCGGAGAGTTGGGGGTGAATGCTCTGTTAGGAGAGGGTGCTGATTTCCCACAGTGGGGAGAAAAGGTAGAAAGCAAAAGAAAGTTCCTCCTCCTCTGGGGACTGAGGGGAGAAGTTGCTCACACTAGGACACAGACGGGCTGTGGGAATTCACGCTAAACCGCAGCGAGCAGCCCCCATGCCCAGAGGCCTCTGGTATATTTCATCTTTAGTAATACGTAAATCAGGGACTTGTGGTTGTAAGTAACAGCGGGGTGAAATTCGTCCTCAGCAGCAGCTCCGAAGCCCTGGGAAAAAAAAGCCACCGTGTTCACTTTCTTCCCTCACGTTATAAATTAGAATTGTCACTGGATGGAATACAGAATGATTTATGACTATTTTTAGGCCATATTTATGTTTGGAGTTATTTGTGGTGCTCAGACTTGCAGACTATAGCCTGGTCCCTCCCTGGGAATGAGGAGGAGAGACACACACAGACCATGAGCAGCCTAGAGGGTGGTAGGACAAGGAGGCAGTCAGCAATGCCTTTCCCTCTGGCTTCTTTGGTGTGGGAGGCCACCTATGGCTATGCCTCTTACTATGGCTGGTCTTTCCCAACACTGGCACTTGCGCCAGGCACTGAAGCAACAGCACTGAACCAGGCTGCAGTACTGGCCAGGTACCTGCTGTAGCAAGACTGTGAGGTGTCTACAGAGATCGCAGAATCCGTGTTCACTGCCCACGGACTCACAGGCAGGTCAAGAAAGCAGACGTGTTTGCACACAAAGGGCATTCACAGTAAGGAGAGGGGTGAAAGCCTGAATCTGTAGGGTAAGTGTCCCTAGAAGTCCAGAGTGAGCTGCAGTGATCAGAGATGCTCTCTGGGTGAGATGGGATGTGAACTGAATTCTTGAAGTTGGGGATGATTGTATATGTATAAAAACTTACATGTTGTTTTACGGCTGATCTTTTCCACTTAATAGCACTGCTGAGTTGTATCTGTGCTGATATTTTGATCCCTTTTATTGGTTCTATAATATTCCCTTGCTTAGATAGTTAATCCATTCCCTGGACTTTTAAAGACTTTGAATGTGCCCCATTTACACACTTCTTGTGTATGTAAGCAGACTGGACAGGAATTGCTGGGTATGGGTGTTTTTAGTTTTGCTAGACACTGCCAAGCTGCTCCTGAATGATTGCTCTATTACATGCCCACCTGCACTGGACGTGGTCCCTTCCCCCAGACCCTGTAGCACACTGACCCATGGAGGATGATACCCAGTCCGGTTTCAGTTTGAGTTTTCCTTGCTCACTCACAGGAATGGCCCTTTACGTTAGTCATTACCTTTCAGTGGTTGTGGACTTTTTAGCCATATTAACTCCTGTGCTACATCTGTGATATCCCTGCATTAGCTGTGATTTGGACTGGGGCTGGGAAGCCTTTTCCAGCTGCAGTGGGACTGTACACTGGACTTGGCACTCCCTAGCAGGAGGGGCCTACACAGTTTGGACTCTGCTTCCTCTCTCTGTGGATTCCACCAGGCAGGTCCCCCTGACGAGCACCTTCATCTCCCAGGCCCGAGTCCCTGCCAGCCCAGCTACCGCCTCCCTCAATAGATAGACAGCCATGGTTTTGGAGCTGTGAATCCTTTACCACCCGAGAGGTGTTTCTTCCGTTCAAGGGCGTGATAAAGACATCGGGGGGGCTACCGTTTAACACATTGCTTGCTGTAAGCCTTCCCTGAGGCCAGGAGAACTAACAGCCTGCTGGAGGTAGGCTCACCTTCTAGCTCCTTTTGTTCTGGGAGGCTGGGGCCTTTGCACACATTGACTTCTTCAGCTGGGCACAGGGTAGGGGTGGTGGCTTTTGAAGCTGTTAGTTCAAGCTTCCAGGGATGACAGAGGCTGGCTGCAGAAGAGGAAAGGGGGCTACAGAGCCAGAGCGCAACCCATGAGCTCTTAGCTGGTCTGGAGCAGGGCCTGTCTGCCTATCTGGTGTGGCCCAGGAAGGGGCTTAGGGTAGGAGGTTACTAAGGACCCAGAGCTGGCTCTAAAGATTACCATGCCTCCAGGATTCCCAAGACCATGGTCACACTGGCCAAGTATGTCAGCCATCACCCAGAAGGCCTTGCTAGAGGATTCCTTCCCAAGTTCAGGGCCCAAAAAGAAAACTCTGGCTCCAGATGATGACAGACTGTTCTGTCTCTGATATGCATCTCTCTCCTAACAGAGGAGTGTCTTAGAGCCTGGCCAGCTGTCAACTCTCCAGTTCCCACCTTCCTTTGCTGCTGAGTCCCCCAAAAGACAAAAGCCACATTCTCAGTGTAACAGTCGCAGGCTTACAAGTCTCCTATGAACTAGGCATACTGGTCTCATCTGGTTCTCTTAAAAAAAACATCTATGCAAAACACATATTATCACACCCATTTCATAGATGGAGAGATTGGACCTCAGAGACCTCTCTCTGCCCGTATCATACCACAAGCCAGTGGCAGACCTGGGACTGGAGCTTGGCTCTTAAGCTTACTCACTGGTTCTCAGTGGGAGCTGAGGTTTACAGGTCAGCTCAGTCCCTGCTGTTCAGCATGTAACTCCATCTGTCAGCCACTCATTGGGTGTGCTCTGCCCCACCAGCATTGGGGCAGATACTGAGGGATGCATGAATGCAAGGACGAAAGTGTGGTCTCAGTCTCACAAAGGAGATAAGAAATCAAGCACGCAACTTCAGATCTGGGTTTTGAGGATTTGCTCCTGGAATGTCAAAGCCCTGTGTGGAATGTGCATATGATGCTGAAGGCAGGCCCAACCTCAAAGAAAGGAGCATAGATGGTCATAGGGTATGATGGGAACCAATCAGGTGACAGGAAGGGGTGGGACTATGTGAGCATGAAAGAGTCCATTGAAAACCAGTCTGTGGAATTGTCCCCATAAGTGGCCAGATTGGTGGCATGTTAGGTTTTCTCTAGCCCTGGCCAGACCGGGTGCGTCCTGGTGATCACACTAGGGTTACAGAGTTCAGGACCACCGGGAAAGACTACCCAGACTCAAAAAGTTCCAAATCAGCCAAATTGAGCTTTTACAATTTTATTAGAATTTTAAAGAAAAAGACATCCTCAGGGCAGGCGAGCTGGTAATCGTGGCAGCCGCCTTGAGGAGGTGAACGGTGGGAAGAAGGAAAGACCTGAGGGTATGCTGGTTTAGAGCCTGTGTGGGAGGTCAGACACCTGGCCAACTGGCAGCCACGTGGCTGGGAGAAGGACGCTTTAGAGAAAGTGAAGAAATACAGGATGTTAGAGGCAGCTCAAAGCCTTAAAGAAGAAGAAAAAGGGAACTTACGCCTTTCAGAAAGACAGACAGACTTACAGAGACCTACTTGACTGGGGCTCCACCGAAGTTCTGCGCTGGTAGGCGGGATTCCAGGCAGGAAAAACTCGCTATCTCATTAATGCACTAGGTATTCCACCGCCTACTTAGCATGACCCGCCTTCCTAGGGGTGAGCCTGTGACCAGATGATTGACCAGTTACACTTACACAAAATGGAGGCACTTGGGGTATTACAGCACCCACTTTTTCTGGGGGTAGCTATAGACAGTCTCTTGCTCCCCGATGATAGGGCACCGATGACAGGCCAAAGCAAGATGCCACCGAAGCCCAACTTAGGGGAACTAAGGAGTTTATTGGGCTGACTTACAGAGCATAGATGAGGGGTTAACATCAGGAGCGTGGGTGACCCCAAAACAGCCACACCACCAGAAAGTCACCCCATCATGGATGACAACTTACCCGTAACTATATAGATGGAGCCCCCTCTTCAGTTAACCTCCCACAGTCTCTATATTTTAGTACCTCCC